GCTGCTGCTGCTGCTGCCGCTGGTGGTGGGTGGTGATGGTGATGATGATGATGATGGTGGTGGTGGTGGTGGCGGTGGCGGTGGCGGCGGCGGCGATGGCGGTGGCTGTGGCGACGGTGGTGGTGAACACAATCATGTCAATGGTAAAGGTGGTAAAGGTGATGTATGTTGACTCTGAAGACGAGCATGGCGAGGTCAGCGTGGGTGTGATAGTATTGTTGGCTACCGGGTTGAATCTGATTCTGTTGGTTCTGAGGTTACGAGACGCAAGTGATGATTGATCATAGCGGGGAGCATGGTAATGCCGATGTTGCTGACCACCACTGAAGCTGCGGGTCATTCGCCATTGCATGACTGTCAGTGCATCTGTTATTGTTCATGGTGGTTTACGAACATGGTATTGCTTGTTTACTAAAGCTCTAAGGACGAGTCCTGGTATTTTTCGTAGATGGAAGTTCTTGAGAGCGACTTGACAGGACACTTCTAGCTTTTTGGTACGCCGGGCTGAGACATGGTTGAAACTCAAGACTAAACTACCCCTAATCCAATCTTCAACTTAGACCCCAAGAAGCGCGTAGCAAGGAGCTGCTTTGGAAGCTACCAGAGGCAAATCCTCAGGAGCTGACCCTCGTGGCCAGGGTCTTGATGGGCAGTGTGTACAGGCTTTAGGGTCCGCCAGGGTTGAAGGCCGGGAAAAACCTACGTATGGGCTCTATAGGGTTTAGGCCGTGGTCCAGGACCTGGGATCGAGTGGGTTTTGAGGCTTTGGGGTCTTTATGGGTTATAGGAGTTAGGGTAGTATGCGGAATCTGTGAGGTCTTTGAACCACTTCGGACCAAGAGAGCGTGGGTTTCAGTAAGAGCGATCTGGTTCTGATGAGTTGTGAATTCAGTCTAGGTCCGGCGCATAAGGGGGTTTAGGATCTACAGGGTTTGGGTCTTAACATTCCTGGCCTACAGAGTTTGGGGTCGTTTGGGGCGTGATTGGGGTCCCCAAAAGCCTCAGCCCGGTCTTGGGGTCCAGCTGAGAGGTGGGGGTTTCTGGCTTCCAGAACCATCAGATCCAAGGAAGATGGCAGTGTAGTAAGCTTCAGAAAGGGGCTCGCTAGTCAGCGAAATTCATCAGACTCTCGTCGGCCTTTGATGCCTTCACCCCGGCTCCTCGAACGTAGCTCCCGAAGAGAAAACCAGACGTCCGATACACGATTCACGATGCGCCAGAGGTTTCTTCAACCGCGAGCTTGTTGGGTGTTCGAAGTACGTGTTCAGTTGATTGGCTGGTCTGGGCCTTGACTACAAGGAGTAGCGATCATGGGTATCTCTTGGTCTGTTTGATTGAAGACGTGGGCCCGTGCACGCGGCAGTTGCACTCCCCCCCGGCCGCATACTTCGATGCCCGGAAACCCTAAACCGACACCCAACCCACACCGCCCAAAATAGCTAGAATCCCGGGAATCCGAAAGCCTTATAGCCGAAAATGCCCGAGCATGAAGATCCGAGACAGATGCCCTTTCCCAGAAGCTCACCTAAGCTCTTAACAGCAACCATGGAGCCCAACAGGTCGAAGCAGAAGACCTGCAACACCACACTCTTACTTTATTACCTGGCATAGCCTGATGCTTCTTTTAAGGATCCTTATGTACGTGAACAGCCAATAAACGCCAGCACAATCCGGTTCGAAAGCTTATTGAACCTCTAAAGAACGTGGCATACCTAAGCTCCGCAAAACGCTGCACGAAGCCAGGCCTCCGCGTTCATGAAACTCCGCTCGTATGACACCAAGCTTTTCAGGTCACCGCCAACAGGGTTTCTTAAGTACTTTCAAAGGCTGCTACAACGATTCAGGATTTAGGGTTAAATCGGGGTTTAATGCAGACACAGGTGGCACAGAGACTGCGAGTAGTTCCGTTCTCGTGCTGGGGTACACGGCATGGGGTGGCGCAACATTTCGCATCTTCACAGGAAGACCCTTGAATGCAAGCTTACACTCACCTGTTCTTGTTGAGGATCGCTTGCTAAAAGTGTCCGAATCTTGCCTTTCTCCGCTCTGTTTTAGGATATAGTATCTCGTACCGGTGGTAGAGGTCTGGAGGCCCCGGAGTGGCTGTGGAGCTTGGTTTGAGAGGGCTAAAAAGCGAGATTTGGGCATGAAGGTTCCGAGCACAAGGTTTCAGATCTGGAGTTTCAAGGCCTCGACTCGAGCAGCCAGGTTTGAGAGCTTTGCGTCCTGATTTCCCAAAACCAAAACAGTCACAAAACCGAAGCCCGCAGGCACATTGCCGCTTTGTCCTTGCTTCAGGCGAAGGCAAGGATACGGTTTGATGACCTTGCGAACTCTAATATAGAGGCCCTGAATTACCTACATACTATTTTGGGGTTCGTATTATAATTATAGTACAGTATACCCTAAAAACGTATTCTAATTATTAAGGCCCCTACATCAGACCATAAAACCATTCAAAGAGCAGGCAAAGTTCTTCGCAGCAGGATTCGGAGAGATGCTTCTGTTCGGGTGTTGAATGGGGCCCGACTGTCGTAAATGTATCGGCATACTTAACAAGCTTTCACATCGAGGTGTAAGCTTCCGCTTGAAGCCCAAGCATAAAAGGTTCCGCTGCCTTGTTTAGCATCGCGGCTCGCGGGTGGGTCCGAGGAGACACCTAGCACCCACAATTTGTTGAGACGTGCTCCGCATCTTCAGCAGTGGGCCGGCTGAGTGGCCGTGTGCTCAACCGCTGCGTCGTCACTGTCCCAGAAAGCTGCTTGGTTTGCTTTAATCTTTCACCCCCTGTAACCAGACTCCGTCTGGAAGTCCGAGATGTCAAAATTGGAGGCTTCTGAAGTTTCAGCAGTTTGAGTCAGAATCAAAGCGAAACAGTGGCAACACACGCACAAGTAGTGGCAGAAGGCGATCTCAAAAGTTGAAGAGTAAGCCTGGAAGCCAAAGACCTCGAGATCCCCTTAGTTTCGAAGGACTTCGGCGCAAGGCATGCGGCCAACTTGCTGCATGCTTTTGCGCGCAGGGGCCTCGCTGATTCTCGCTTGTCATGCTGGGGTTCCTCAGTTGGGTCGGGTTCTGAAGAGCGCGATCATCTAGGAGCCACCTGAAGAAACTCTGGGCCCATATGCAGAACCCGGATAAGAAGCAAGAACTCCTAAGGCAGGTTTCTGCTCTACCTCGGGCGCAGGGTGTGCGAAAGAAGGGGCTCAGCTTTAGATCTGATAGGGATGAGCAGGGGGCTGAAAGCTTCTCTGAGCTACACGATTGAGGCTTGCTGTCTCTGTAGGCTTGTGGCCCGCCAGTCTGATGTCTGGTGTGCTGACGGTCGAGGTTCCTGTTTGGGGTAAAGCAGCTTGTTCTCATCGAAAAGAGTGGCCACAGAGTGCCAGCATTCCGAGGCTCTGACATGATTGGAAGCTCTCTACGACCCGAGCTCGCTTGAGCTAGTGACAACGATGCCTTTGCAAAGATGCATGTCCGACGTTCGGATTTTTACACTTTTGTGGACAGCAGTTAGCAGTGGTCGTTCTGGGGTGAATGTCCCAGGCTTTTCCCGAACCCTTCCAGGATGAACTTTCCGACCATGAAAAGTTCTCGCTCTCCGGACCCGAGACCCACCAGGCTCCGGCGCGCCGATGCCACCCAAGCTTTTTCAAAGCCTTGTGTTGGGCCAAGCAAGGTTTGAGGTTGTGGATCTGATTCGGGCTCTGGATCCAGGGCATTGAGGATGGCAGCAGCACCGGTGTTCCTCGGTTGGCCCGTGAAGGAACTCCAAACGGTTTGTCCCTTTCCATCCGGCCAACACGACAGTTGTGAGACTGCTGCTATCGACGATGTAGTGGGGCTTAGGGCTGTCAGAGGCCTGCCTCAATTTCGGTACGAGTTTCGGGTTCTTGCCAGTCGTCCGTCAAGTTTGAGTGTGAAGTTGCAAGGATCAACCAGCACATGTTCAAACGGAAGCTTCTCTTGCAGCCTCCCGCTGCATCATTCTTCGATTCTAAGTCGGAGACCATCTGCGAGCCTACGAATGCTGCCGAGCTCACCAGTGTAGGCCTTCGTGCGGGCTGCTCTGGGGCTACACTGGGCTGTCAACTAGGCTTACTCATGCTGAAGCGATGCATGTCCACGATCCCTGATTGTACAGAATGGCCACAAAAATTGTTGAGAGATCGGTATCGCTGGGTCTGCATCCCAAAAGGCATCAGCCGCCGAAAGCAACCTATGTCAAGGCCTCCCCAGCAAGATTGGCGGTTTGAGGCACTATCCATGCAGCATTTGCCGCCGGAAGGGCAGCGAAGGACTCGCCCAAAGTGGCGAGGACATTGTTGCAGGCAGGTCCTTGCAAGTATCCTTGGTTTTGGAGCAGGGTTCAGGGTGTTGAATTTGCTTTACAGAAATGAATGTGTACAGCTACTTCTGCCGCAATCATTCCGAAGTGTTGAGAGGCCCCCTAGGCACCCGAAATCACCCGAACGCGCCTTTCAATTGAGAGGATTGGTCGTGCTGTGATATCTGAACGCCAGTACCGTCGCTGATCTGTGGCGCACACGTCATGGTGACAGAAGTTGACTGGTAAATGTATTGCATTGGTCCTTCTAGGTTAGGTTGCATACGTTTGCTTCCAGCATTTTGTCTTGACAGTGTTGCTCTGGCTGCCGGCCGGCAGTTGGGCATTTGAAGACAGCTTTGCTCAGCACTGACGTCTCCGAGGGCGTCTTCACTTACTTTCTTTGGTGGAGTCTTCTCCATCGCCCTCACTGTGCTTGCAAACCAAGGGCAAGTACAGTTCAACACAGTCAGATTTACGGGAAGGGATGCTTCTAAGGCATATCATGTCGCCATCTCCGTTGCGTTCTGCTGCTATATGCTCCCTTAAGTTCTGCCCGACAAGACCTGCAAATCAAAACATTATGATTTCCTTCATTGTTTGGAAACAGTCTGGCAACGCTTCGCAGCTAGGCCCGGAACTTGTTGCACGGACAGAACCTGTTGCGGCCTGGATGCAGGCGGCCGTGCGCCGCTACCTGTCACTTCTGCGCCAGAATCCGGATGTTCCTGCGAATCCACACCACGTGCCAGCCTCAGCAGTTGACGTCGCCACTCGTGCGGAGGATGTGTGTCCCTGTTTGTCCGCCAATTTCCGTAGAAGTCTGTCTCGAAAGATTTACTTCGCTACTTGGCTTGTTCTGCCCCTCTTGTATCTGCCGTCCTACGGACAAAGAAGCAGTCATTTGTCAACCCTGTGCTGCCAGGATGCACAAGAGTCCAAACTCCTGAAAGGAGCTTCGAAAGAACCTCCCCAGATAGTTCCTTCTATCCATATACCACTGTTTATACGATAAAGACTCTAGCTTCATTCATAACTATACCCTAGCATGCTCCCCCAACCCTGTTCTAATCCCTTGGAGGTGGCCGTACTCAGCGGAGCACTTGTCGAGGCGGATGTTCAGGGTTTAGGGGAATCCAAAACCCTGCGCCCTAAACCCTTCAACCATCTTATAAGCCCTAAACCTCAAAATCATGAAAAGCGTGGTCTTCTATGTTTCAGATTCGCTGAGAATTCCAAGCCATCTTCTGCTTCTTTCAGGGTTCCCTTGCGGATCTTTCAGGGTTTCAATAAGGGGCACTATTAAATTAGGCTATAAGGGCTCTATAGGGCTTTACGGTGGTCCCTTTTGATCTTGCCTCTCCCTTTCGGCTCCTTGGGCTGCTTCCGACTGCAGGCCGGCCTCCACAGCAATCAAGTTCTGGATGCTCTCTTCCATGCGCCCGGAGCCCAGATTCATGTTTTTTCATGATTTCGGGGTTTAGGGTATAAGGGTTTAGGGTTTAGGACAGAGTCCTGGATGCAAAAAGGGTTTAGGATAGTCGAGAGTAGGTAAACCTCTACTAGCAGCTCCTTTTCAATGTCCGACGGTCAGGCTTCTTCCCGAGCATGGCGGACTGGGCCTCAGGCTTCGGGTTTGGACATGGTCCACTCCCACTTCTCCACATTTCACGGGTGATTATTTTCTTGAGCGCATTCAGAGCTGCTCAGGTGCGCCCGCAGAGGGGCGAGTAGAAGCCGCCATCCGGGAGAGTGCGGCCAGGAGGCTGCTACCACTCTTGTTGAGAGATTTACCGGCTTAGGTGTGATGATTTGGAGTACAAACAGGACCCACTGTTTCTATCAGACGTCCTGCTCGCATTTTCTGCGTCGACACATGTATCGAATGACTCCAGTATAAAGATGCAAAGTGAGACTGGGGTTTAGGATTTCAGGGAATAGGGGTTCAGACGCCAGCCAGGGAGAACCTTCACCAGCTAGCCGACGCTGCTGCTGGCCTCCTTGCTTGCCTGGATCGGCCTAGCAGCCGAAAGCAACCTGCCAGGGACCCGGAGCTTTGAAGGGTCTGATCGGTTTGTACAAGGCTTTTGAAAGGGTTGTCTGAGGGCTTGACAGGAGGCCCCACCTGCAAGACGCCCCAAACTTCGAAGCACATTTTGTAAAGCTTTGCAACGTTTGGGTCTCTGGGGGCTCCGAGCTACCAATGGGCCCTGTACAGCTTACAGCTGCGAATCTCCAATGTCACGAGGGCCGAGCCGGCACGCCTCACATTCCAGTCGAGTGTGCTATGCTTTGCATGAGCCTCGAGGTGTAGTCCGCTCAGTATTCCAAGATCCTGGGCCATTCAGCCAGTATGCACATCTATAGAGCGAAAGCTTCACCCCGAAACATCAGCCGACGCGTGGCGGTACTCGACAGAACCGTGGCCAACATGTCTGCAGCATCTGTGAAATATCTGTTAAATGCGACTCAAGAGCGAGAAACGGGCACTCTCCGAACTAAGTAGCATTTCAAGGAACGCTGCGAGCAGCGGGAGATGCTGCAGCGTGCCTGGAGGAGCCGCGACACATGGGGCAGTTCAGAGGAATCTGGTTTGTGTGTGGCATCCTTGGGGTTTAGGGGTTGAAGATTGCCGCAGGCTGGGCACTTCTTATGACTGTTGCGCCACAAGACCTTGCTTAAAACCCGCGGGTCCTAAACGATGTGGTGCCTCAGGTTGTAAGCCAGACTCGGTCCAGAGCTTAAACGCGACAAACTGCCGGAAGGATGTCGCTGGAAGCTCTGAGCCATCAGGTTTCGGAGAAAAGTATTGCCTTGGAGGGTAGGGCGTGCGACTTGCATGAACGGCTTAGAGTCTTAGAGGCTCAGAGACATCATATGCAGTTTGCCTTGTCAAAGGCCTGCTTCCCATGTGCTGCCTGCCCGAGCCTGCCTGCCTAAGCAGAGTCTTCAGTCTTTTTGTCGTCGCTTGGCTCAAAAGACCTCTGGCAATCGGCCATGCTCTGTGCGACCAGATGTTGACAGGCGCGACTGCACACATAACCTTGCAGACAGAATCATCGCAAGCATGTCACTCTCCCAGGCTGACCCTAGCTGAACTTACCCAGCCAAGGTTGTACGCGTATGGCATAAGTCCTTCACAGAGGGAGGCTCCGGTTGCAGACTGCCAATCCATTAGCTTTGCTTGGTTTACAGGTAAGTCTAAGCCAACACTGAAATCCAAACCCCCTGGCGTTCGAAAGCCACATGTAATGAACAAGTGAGTGCCAGCGCTTACGTTTGCTTCACACGTACTGGGAAGAACTCTGGCAGGCCGTAAGAAAGAAGATTCCTGCAGGCCTGCCATGTGAGAACAAGGCCCATCTCGCTTTCCCTGCTCTCTGCAAGCAACATGAAGCTTATGTTGACGATGCGCCGGCTCAAGTCAAGGAGCCTGGAGTCCGCCAAAAGAGACGGTTTCCATCATGGGCCGTCTTGATGGAAAAGTTGCAGTTATCACCGGTGGCACAAGTGGTATCGGTTTGGAGACTGTGCGGGTTTTCGTCCAGGAGGGATGCAGGGTGATGTTCTGCGGCCGCGGCGAGCAGGTCGGTGAGCAGATTGCCAAGGAGCTTGGCGACACATGCAGAGTCCTGGATGCATCAGAACTGATGTCATCTTTTTCGTTCATCAACCCATACATGCTGTGAAGCAGAGGCGAAAGACTAGGCAGCAGTCCTAGGCTTCACAAAGTGTGACGTAAATGTCGAAGCAGAGATCAAGAACGTCATAGACAAGACCGTAGAAAAGTGGGGCAAGCTGGACATCCTTTTCAACAATGCCGGTGGGCCCGTCGGACCCTTTCGAGTGGACCAAATCAAAAAAGAGCATCTAGATGCCAACTTCAGCTTGAACTTTAACTCCATGGTGATGGCCACAAAGTTTGCACTGCCACATCTCGTCAAGCAGCCGACTTCCTCCATCATCAACAACAGCTCTATCGCTGCGAAGAAAGCAGGTTTTGGAGACCCTCTCTACAGTGCATGCAAAGGTGCCATGGACGCTTATAGCCGAGTAGCTGCCATGCAACTCGCACCTCGGGGCGTGCGCGTCAACTGCGTCTCACCCGGTGCCACTGCGACGCCAATCTTCTGGAGCGGCTCGCCTGGCTCAGCGCGAGGTGCCACGCTTACGGCAGAGGAGAATGCCAAGAAGCAGCAGAAGGTGGAGGCCAACATCATTAATAATTGTGCATCTCTCCGTGTCGGCCGTGCAGGCACAGGTCTTGACATCGCCCGGGCCGCATGCTTCCTAGCATCCGACGACAGCATCTGGATTACCGGGCAGGATCTAGTTATCGATGGCGGCATGACCACCTTTGATGCACCAAACAAAGCCTGGATGGCAGATCCCAACCCAGTGGACCCTGTGCCTTTAAGGCACAAACTCTCCAAGCTTTAAGTGCACGAGTCCAATCAGAAAATATGTTGCAGGCTCGGCAGCGAGGCAGCACATCCGTTCCAAGGTGAGTCATTGCCCCTGCAGCGGGGCCGGTCTTGCCGCAGTATCTGAAGAAGAGTTGACGAAAAGGATACGAAAAGGCCGCTTGCATGTCTGCGTGCGCGTCTGACTTGCGACCAGTGCTGCATGTAGGACTCTGGGAGCAGTCGAGAAGCCTCCAGCTTGCATCAGGTCAGAGGGGCTGAGTGCCGTGACGTCTGGTTCTTCACATGGCTTGGGAAGACCTCGTTGCTCTTGAGAAATAGAACTATGGGATTTCGATACTCGAAGATGATACTCGTTTTGCAGATCTATATGATGATAAACAGAAGTGGATTTCATTTCAATCAAAAATTTTGTTTAAATTGAATTTCAGGAAATCTGTCATATTTTAAAATTTTTGAAATCACATTTGTATATATATATATACTATGCGTCTGTCTGTCTACTTATCTATTTATCTATTTATTTGCCCGCCTGTCTTTCTAGCTATCTGTCTACTTATCTATCTATCTTATTCTATCTATTTGTCTGTCTGTTTGCTTGTCTAATTAGCTGTCTGTCTATTTATCTACTTGTCTACTTGCTTGCCTATTTGCTTACTTTCCTGGTTATTTGATTGATTGCTTACCTGTCTATTACTTGCCAGCCTACCTATTTGTCTGCTTGCCTATTTTTATAGATTTATTTATAGCTGTGTCTATTTATATTTGGATAGTTTTTTTTGCATACATCTGGAAATTATAAATATACTAGAATTAGTTAATATATCTATCTATTTATATGGGTGATAGCATTCATTCTAGAGATTATCTATGGAATCGGTAGGCTATTTATAGATATAAAATTGATATTCGATATCGAATTTCAAATGAAATTGATAATAATTCTTACTTCTAATAAAATATAATATGAAATATTCTTAATTCAAAACTTATGATATATTTATGCATAGATCTGATATGATTTTATATTATTAAATTTCATTTTTGGCGGAGATAATTTAATAGAAAGATGGATTTTTGATAATAGAACTAATGAGATTCTATGTTAGATATCTGATATACTCAAAATAAAAAAAAGATTCTACTCTTTGTATTTCGATTTAAGAGGAGATATTCGATTATGATTCTGAGATATTCGAAATTATTCTTTAAAATTGAATATTAGATATGATTTAAAAGGATAAAAATGCCAATAAAATAATTGAGATAAATATTTAAGATTAAATTCATAATTAATCTCACGATTAGAATGGAATAGATATCGGACAAAATTTAATTATGAATAGAAATTCATAATATGGAATATTTGATATTAATAATTTTAGAAATATATGAGCGACCGCGGTTATTTAGTCTTTTTGTGTTAAGAATACAGGCGGACATGGTAATACGGGTTTTGCTAGCGTTACTTGGAGAACGAGATAGGGCCCGCAATAAAAACGAGATGGCTTAAAGAGTATATATTGTGTTTACTCACAATTGTACTATATAGATGGGAGTTAATTCGCCTCACTACGGACCAACAGCAATGGCTAGAAGCGCACGTGTGGCATGGTCCAAATTTTGTTGGGAGTGTCGGATTAAAACGAGATTTAGAACGAGATACTTTCGATTAGCCAGTT